GCAGAAAACCTAACGATGGCGTTTGCGGGAGCCGCGTACGGGCCTGCACGACGTTGGGGATCCATCGCCTTTTCTTGCCGTCCTCCTCCCTTCGGTTTTTAGGGACCTGGGCTCCGCCGTTGCAGGCGGGCATGGTTAAAGCCGTTCGGTCCGGGGCGTGAGCGTGTTGGCATTTAATTCGTCGCTGGTTGTAGTCTCCTTCTATTGAGCTCAAACCTAAAAATAATGTGAGCAGTAGGTGGGAACGTTAATCCCCTATTTCGGGTAGCCGCACTGTAAATGAGCGGTTCTGTCCACGCGCCGCTGGGACGGCGTTTGCCGGGCTGGTGCAAGCTCCTCTCCGATGAATTGGTTTTCAGCAATGATGGGGCTTTCTGTGGGCCCGAGCTCAAGCTCTGCTTTAATCGCGGTGGAAGACCTGGGCTGCCTTTGGACTGGTTTTGCTGGTGACGCTGTGGCAGAAACCTCCCGGGGAGGGAACTTCACCGGGACGAATGCGGGGAGCTCGGCCGGACGTGCCCTGGCCTTGACTGAACGGGCACCTTTGGGGCAGCGCGGCTTTCGTCTGTCTTAAAAATTGTTGGGTTTTAATCCATGTTGGATCACGCTTTGGTTTTAGGCTGTTTTTCTTCGTGCTGGGTGGGGGGTGAGTCGGAGCGAAGGGGCCGTGCTGGGGTAGCGGCTGGTGGCTGTTGAACGCGCTGGCGGTTGTCAGAGGGGATTCAACTCTTCTGCTCTGGTTTTCAAAACCCAAAGAGGCTGGGGGGACAACAGACAGTTAAACAACTCGGATCTTACCCAGATTTCATCTCCCAGTCTATGTTGGACATCAGCGAATCCTCCGATAAATAAATCGGGACAAGCAGAACTGAGATTGCGAGAGGCGCTCGTGACTCGAGAGGCTGCAGAACCGCTCACAACATCCCGCTCCCTGCTCTTGTCTTGAAATCGGTGTTCTTCGCGTGGAAGCTGGATTTGAGCTGTGTATTGACAGGTTTCATGAGCAAAGGTGTCCCTGGGCTCTCGGAAGCGTCTCTGGAAATGAGACAAACCCAAAAGAGTTGGTGCTTCCGCTGGAGAAGCGCAGGTCTCGGCGCCAGAGACCCTGACGGCTCCCGAGGCGGCTCATCCTGACACGCCTCCGTTCGTTGCTTGGTTTTGGCATTCCCAGAGGCCCGGGCCTTCCCCCTGGGGTTTTGCCAGAGCAGAACCGCTTGCTTGGTGTCTCCAAAGCCGGTGTTTACGCTGCCCTGGGGAGGTGACGCCCTGCGGCGCGAGGTAAGGAGGGGGCTGAGCTGCGTCGCGTTGCTTTGAGGCCGCTGGTGCGGTGGAACGGGCGCAGGCACAGGATATAAACTTGCCGGGCTGTCAGCTCCGATCCATCCCCGTTTTCTGACTGACGGTAGCTGCAGCCTCACGCAGATAAAGCTGTAAAATCTCTGGGAGGGCGCCCTGCTCTGCGGGTAAGCGGAGAGGTTCTTGAATTGCGGTTGAGATTTGTAACTGGGAAAATGCAGAGTTAAGGGAACCGTGTGCTCTGCCCCCAGGAGCGTTACTCCCTACCAGGTGCAGATTTTGCTCAATCTTCAACGATCGGTGTGAGACCTGTGCAGAGTCACCCGCCCCCCGGTTCTTTCCTCCCACGTGCAATGGAAGTTCCCCCCTCAGTCAGCTTGGCTTCTCCGAATTGAGCAATGGCGAAGGGCAGCCTGGGGCGGGAGGGTCTGTAGCTGTGAGGGATCCTGCCCAAAGCTGTGGAAGCGGGGCTGGGCTCCGGACAGGGAGGCAGTTGGAGCTGGGATCGTTTAAAGAGGAACTGGGAAAGTCCATCAGGAACTGGGAAAGCGCCGGCTCGCAGAGCACTGTGCCGCTCCCTGCCACGGGAGCCGCTGTGGCCGTGCAGGGAAGCTGAAAGCTCCTTTGTGCGTCTCCTGCCGATGATTCAATCCCAGTTACTTTCTTACGCCGCGGTTTAGACTCGAGGGGACGAGAGGTCGCTGTTCAGAAGTTAAATTTCAGAACGGGTTTCTGTGACGGGGGGAGCGGAGCTGTCGCTGTTCCCTTCAGCGGCTTCACGGGCTTAAACTTGCTCCTGGAAATGGAGCTGAGTTATCCCCCAGCGTGGGCAGGCTTTTGTTCACTGAACGGACCCGGCCCTGGCTGAAGGGCGAGCGAGGAGTTCCCAAAGCCTGGCTCAGGTGCGACACCACCAGCCTCCCTTGGAAAAGAGAAAGCTTGGCCTGGTTTCGGGATCTCGCAGACATTCAATGTAGAGAAGATAAATAGGGGAGGTTTCTGTCCTTGCAGCGTAGGTGATGAATGCAGAAGTTACGGGGTGATATTTGGGGGGGGTAGGGCTCGCTTAAACAAAACTTTCTGTACCTGCTGGATCCTGAATATTCATGGCACGAGCATCGGCACAGTGGGAAGACAACCGTGTGTGTCACCACCACACGCGCCTCCGCCGGCCTCGGGTCAGCGTGCCGCGGCGGCAGCATTGAAGCCCCGTGTTTCAGTCGGTTCTTGGCCAGTGGGACAGTGGATACCGAGGTTTTATTTTGGGGAGGAATTAGAACTTTCAGATGCTTTTTCTTCTGACCTTAAAGGAGCCCCCGTCTGTGGACGGATTCCTTGTAGGCGAAATGGAAGCTCAGTGGCTTAGTGCTCGTTGAAGGGGAAGTTTGATTTTAATAGAATTAAATCCAGCTGCCCTGGGCAGCTTCTCTCACAGACTGGCAGCTACAAGCGACTTCAGGTCGTTCATGGAGCTTGGGAGAAACGTCCCATCTGTGCATCGCCCGAGGCGGTGTAATGCACGGCCCCTGACGAGCGAAGCCTTTTCTATTCCAAGTCTGGATTATTTCACTGATATATGCAATCCCATCTTCAGCTACAGCGCTGGTGGCACAGGAGCTCTGGAAAAGTTGTCCCTGAGCCATAAAAGTTTTATTTATTGTGATTTTCTATAGGTGAAGTGGGAAACTGAAGTTGGCTTTAAGTGTTTGCAACCTGAGAAATGACGTGGAAAAGCAGCTCGACTGCGTGTACATTCTTGTCAGCCTTTTCTTTTTTGTGTGAGGGCTTTTGTCTTTGTACCTTTGCATTATTTGTAAATGAAATGTAATAAAAGTTCAAATGTTTTCGTCTCTGGCTGCTCAGCTTTTCCTGACTTTTGTCGTTCGTTCGCTTTTTAACTGAAGGTTTTTCAGCACTGAACTCCCGGTGTTTGCAGTGCTCCTCTTCATAAAGAAACAGCAAAAGCAAACTCTTTCGGTTTGCTGGCTTCTCGCAGCTGTGAAAGGCCCCGGCGCTGCCTGGCCGAGGGGAGGCTGCAGGCGGGTGGCAAAGCCGCGGAGCGTGCGATGAACCTCGTCCCGACGGCGCGGTGAGGGTGCGGCGGCTGCCTGGGCCCCTCTCACCGCAGAGCCCCCGTCGCGTTCCTGGGCTGCTGCAGTTTTAGGGTGTTCTGGGGTAAGGAGTCTGTCTGTCTGTCTGTCTGAGCTGCTGGACTTTGGAAAGAGCCCATGAGCGTGTGAATGCTGGGACTCGCCTCCTTGGACCGACCTCGGTGCGCGCTTCGACACCCGGGGGCGGCTTTCACCGAGGTAAGTGGCGCCAGCGGCGAAAAAGGCGTCGTGTGAGGAAGGCAGCTGGGCCCCCGCGCCCCCGGCCTGGGCGGTTACGGCAGCACGCTTGGGATGGGGATTCCTCTTTTTCTGGTATTTTACGCTTTGGGGGAAGCGTTCAGCTGCAGCCCCTGCTCTGACCCAGGGGCTGTCGTGCTGGTCGGCGATGGTGGGCGATGCGTGACCCGCTCGAGCCGCAGCGGGGCTGACTGAACGCCCCGGCTGTCCCGTGACCAGGGAAGGGTTGGTTTCTGCCCACGGCTTGACAACACCCCCCACGCCCAACCCTCATCTCTGGCCACAGCCCCTCTGGCCTCTCTGCCTTTCTGGGAAGCTATGCAGGTCCCCTCGGTGCCTGATCCAGTTTCTGCAGGGGATCTCGTGCGTGGGGCTGCCTGGGCTGCGGTTTTTTCCATAGAATATTCATAGACTTGTATAGTTTGGCAAAGCCCTTTAAGCTCCCCCAGCCCAACCGTTCCCCTACCCCTGCCATCCCACCCCCAAACCCT